CTTTGATCATACCACCTTGAAAGAACTGAAAATTTACAGGTCCCTAGAAGTATCTCTAAAAATAGCTGCAAGAAGCTTGGGACAGTACACCCTCCACACTGAGAGCAGAGCCCTACCTTAACAAAGAGTTTAAAAGTCAAGTAAAAGTCAAGAGAATATGAGCAAACAGTGGGGAAAAAAACAAAAAACCTCAGACAACAGAATTTTATTTTGGTGACAAAGAAGATCAAAACATACAACCAGAAGAAGAAAACAAAGTCAAAGCTCTTACATCCAAAGCCTCCAAGAAAAATATGAATTGGTCTCAGGTGATGGAATAGCTCAAAAAAGATCTTGAGAAGCAAGTAAGAGAAGTAGAAGAAAAACTGGGAAGAGGAATGACAGTGATGCAAGAAAATCATGAAAAACAAGTCAACAGCTTGCTAAAGGAGACACAAAAAAATAATGAAGAGAATACCACCTTAAAAAATAGACTAACCCAAATGACAAAAGAGGTCCAAAAAGACAATCAGGAGAAGAATGCCTTAAAAAGCAGAATTGGCCAAATGGAAAAGGAGGTCCAAAAGGTCACTGAAGAAAATAAGTCCTTAAAAATTAGAAGGGAGCAAATGGAAGCTAATGACTTTATGAGAAATCAAGACATTATAAAACAAAACCAAAAGAATGAAAAAAATAGAAAACAATATGAAATATCTCATTGGAAAAACAATTGACCTGGAAAATAGATGCAGGAAAGATAATTTAAAAATTATTGGCCTACCTGAACGCCATGATCAAAAAAAGAGCTTAGACATCATCTTTCCAGAAATTATTAAGGAAAATTGCCCTGATATTTTAGAACCAGAGGGCAAAATAGAAATTGAAAGAATCCACCAATCACCTCCTGAAAGAGATCCCCAAAGGAAAACTCCTAGGAATATTGTAGCCAAATTCCAGAGTTCCCAGGTCAAGGAGAAAATATTGCAAGCTGTCAGAAAGAATCAATTCAAGTATTGTGGAAACACAATCAGGATAACACAAGATTTAGCAGCTTCTACATTAAGGGACCAGAGGGCTTGGAATATAATATTCTGAAGGTCAAAGGAACTAGGATTACAACTAAGAATCACTTACCCTGCAAAACTGAGTATAATCCTTTAGGGGGAAAAATCGACATTCACTGAAATAGAGGAATTTCAAGTATTCTTAATGAAAAGACCAGAGCTGAATATAAAATTTGACTTTCAAATACAATAATCAAGAAAAGCATAAAAAGGTAAACAGGAAAGAGAAATCATAAGGGACTTATTAAAGTTGAACTGTTTACTTTACTACATGGAAAGATATTTGTAACTCATGAGACCTTTCTCAGTATTAGGGTAGTAGAAGGGAATATATATAGACAGAGGGCACAGGGTGAGTTGAATATGAAGGGATGATATCTAAAAAAGAAAATTAAGAGGTGAGAGAGGATTATACTGGGAGAAGGAGAAAGGGAGAGGTAGAATGGGGTAAATTATTTCACATAAAACAGACAAGAAAAGGCTTTTACAGTAGAGGAGAAGAGGGGGGAGGTCAGAGGGAATAAATGAATCTTACTCTCATCGAATTCGGCTTAGGGAGGGAATACCATACACACTTAATTGGGTATGGAAATCTATCTCCCTACAGGAAAATAGGAGGCAAGGAGATAAGAGAAGGGGGGATAATAGAAGGGAGGGCAAATTGGGGGAGGGGGTAATCAGAAGCAAACACTTGAGGAGGGACAGGGTCAAAGGAGAGAATAGAATAAATGGGGGGTGGGATAGGATGAAGAGAAATATAGTTAGTTTTTCACAACATGGCTATTATGGAAGTGTTTTGCATGACTGCACAGGTATAACTTATATCAAGTTGCTTGCCTTCTCAATGAGGGTGGGTGGGGAGGGAGGAAGGGAGAGACTTTGGAATCCAAAGTTTTAAAACCAAATGTTAAAAATAGTTTTTACATGCAACTGGGAAATAAAATACACAGGCAATGGGGTATAGAAATCTATCCTGCTCTGCTGGAAAATAGAAGGAGGAGGGGATAAGAGAAGGCAGGGGTGACAGAAGGGACAGCAGATCAGGGGAAGGGGTATTCACAACGCATGCCATCTTGGGGTGGGGGGAGGGGAGAGATGGGGAGAAAATTTGGAACTCAAGATCTTGTGGAAGTGAATGTTGAAAACTAAAAATAAATTAATTTAAATATATATATATATATAATTTTGAACTTAACATCCAAAAGGGACACACAAGGGATTCTATATGAAATCATACATCTCCATGTCATACCACTTGCTTAAAAAAACTATCATTCTATATTATAGTTTATGAAATTGAAGGTGCAAAGAAGTTAAAGAGATAATAACAATGTGATAGATTCTCTTCTCAAGCATCTTACTTTTTTTTTGAGGTGCCAACGAAATCCTTTTATTTTATTTAGCATCTTACATTCTAAAAGGGTTAAAGGTACATACACAAATAACTATGATCCAAGGAACACTGTGAGATAAGTGTAAAGGAGAGGGCCAGGCAAAGCTTAGGGGAGATAACTTTCACTATGGAAATAGGAGTAGGGGGTTGGGGAGGGAATGACAGAAAAGGCTTCAAGGAGGAGGTGGCACTTGAAATGGGCTCTGAAGAAAAGGAAGGACTTTATAGATGAAGCTGGATTAGGAAGAAGGGTTCATCCTAGGCACGAGTGATGGTAAGAGCAAAGGCACGGAGATAGGAGAAGACAGCCTAGGGAGAGTAAACAGACTATAAGTCCAGTTTGGCTTAACACATCATACAGGAAGGGAAGTGCGTGAGATAAAATTGGAAACAAAGGTTGAAGTCGGACAGTTGATTGCCTCGATTGTCAGGATCAGAAGTTTCGGCTTTGTTTTGCAGGCTATGGGGAAAGCAGGATTTTTAATAGAGGAGTGAGATGATCAGTTTGGTGCTTTATTAGGTTACTTTATCAAAGGACAGATTTAGAGAGGGAAGAAAACAAAGACAGACACACCAATGAGGCAACTTCTCCCAGTACTTTAAGGGGAATAAAAGAGATCAGGACCTGAAGAGTGAGAGATGAAAACTGAGGCTGAATGGGAGATACAGAGGTAGAATTCACAGGACTTAGCGACTGGCTAGAGGGAGGGAAAGCGGAAAAGAGAAGAGTCAAGATGACCCCAAAGCTATCAGCCCGGGGAACTGGAAAGCTGGAATGGAGAAGTTAAGAGGAGGTTAGGTTTTAGGGAGAAGACAAATTCAGTTTGGGGAATGTTGTTTGAGTTTCAGCAGGGAATTATCTAGCAGACAGATAGGAATGGAACTGGAGCTCTGGGGAGAGCTTAGAGTAGAGAGAATTGGTAGTAATCTTTGTTAATAAATAGAATTTTTTTTTGAACTGGATTTTGACATCATCTTTACAGGGAGGTTTTGATGAAGAAATTCCTTCCACTCATCTTAATCAGCATTTGCTCTATAACTTCTAGTTATATCAAGTTTCATGGGGGCACTAAGAGGTTAAGTGACTAGCTGCAAAGTCACACAGCCAGTATGTATCAGACACAGATAGTAAGTAAATCTAGGTCATTTTAACTTCAAGGCAAGCACTCTATTCACTTGTGCTATGCCTTCCTCTCAATAAGTAGAAATTAATATAGTATAAATTGAATTTAAAAAATGTGACTTTAATACTTCAAAATTTCTGTGATTTTATCTAAAATATACAAAATATAACTCCTCTGGACTTAATGGATAGTTTTCATGAGATGCCATGGCCCCAAAACAATTATCACCAGTATCTAACTTAGAGCAATAGGCCTGCCCAAATTTCATTATAGCTGGTCCTTGGAAAGCACTTTACAGACTTACGATCAAAGTCTTTTTTAGTTAGGTAGGATCCCTAGGTTTTTCTGGCCAGAGCTGGAACTAGGGCAGGGAAACCATTAGTCTGGGGATTTTCTCAAAGGAGAGAAATTTGCCCTAAGGCAGGAAATTTATAGGGTCTTTGACAGTTTGTCTCCTCTTCCAAGGAAAAAGGGAAGTGGGGGGGGAAGAGAGGAAAGGGAGGGAATTATACTATTTGTAGCTGGGAACAGGATGGTGAGGGTAGTGGGCTCCTGCTGGGGGAGCAACTTGACCGCATCTTATTCTCCAGATGCTGTTGCGGAAGTAGGGTGAGACACTTTTGAGAAGAAGAGATTATTTCCACCTGGAGGCAAGAAAAGGTAGCTTGAAGAGTATTGCATTTTAGCAGGGCCTTGAAGGATGATGGGAATTAGAAAAATAAAATTAAAGGAGAAGTGCCTTGAAAGAGATGAGGGCCAAGAGAAATTCAGAGAGATTAAAAAAAAAAAAAGAACTAGAACAGTGTAGTATAATCCACGGGAAGAGTTTCCAAATGTGGTAGTGGGCAACAGGGTTAAATGTTTCAAAGAAATAAAGGAGAACAAGGACCAAGGAAGAGTCATTGAACTCTGCAATTTGGAAGTGACTTTCCAGAGTACAGTATTAGTAGAGCAATGGGGGTGGAAGCCAAATGGCAAAAGGTTAAGCAGTAAATGATGGTGAATTAGATTTGAAGTTAGGACATGAATTTGAATCTCCACTCATTGCCAATATTACCTTGGGTGAAGCATTTCATCTCCATGGGCTTCATCCTCCTCATGGGTAAATTGAAGAGATCGCTTTAAATACTTTCTAAGGTCCTTCATGATCAAAATTTTATGATGGATGATATGGCCCTACAATTCAAGAGAGATCAGCTCTTCTCCACCTCAGATCCCACCTTCTTCAAGAAGCCTTTCCCGATCCCGCTTTCCGCTGGTGACGTCCTCTGTTGATTGTCTCCAGTATAGACCTTATTTGTACACAGTTGTTTGCATGTTGCCTCCTCTTTATTTGGTTTTGGTTGACTTTCTTTGTGTCCCAGGACTTAGCACTGTGCCTGGCACAGAGAAAGTGCTTAATAAGTGTTTACTGATTTGCTACTGTACTTTCCCCAGAACTAATAGTCTCTGTAATAATTATTAAAATAACTAGTATTTGAGGCCTGTAAATTGTTTTATAAGTTGTTAGCTCATTTGATTCTCATAACATAAAGTATTATTACGTAAGGTATTATTACATCTGCCAGCTGAAGACAAATGGGACTGAGAGATAACCCTGACCTGCTCAGGGTTGAGCAGCTAGCGTCTGAGGCAGGATTCAAATTCAGGTCTTCCCGGCTCCAAGCCCAACATTCTACCCACTGTGTGGCCACCTACCTGTAAAAACAAAAAAATTAGCCTAGATGAGGGATTTTTAACCATGTCATGGTGAAACCTCAATGTAAATGTATAAAATAAAATTTACAGGATTACAAATGAAACCAATTATATTGAAAGTTAGCAAAGTATTTTAAAAGATAAGTTCACCTATATCAAGTTAAGAACCCCTAACCTAAATAATCCCTAAAATCCCTTTCAATTTTAACACCTTGGCAAAAAAATTTTTTGAAGGGGAAGAGGCTTTAAAGCCCTCTTTCAGGCCCCTCTCTTAAAATACGTTTAAAGCATTACAGCCCGACAGCACAGACACTCTTAAGGGCAATGACTGTTTCTTTCTTTTTTCTTTTTTCTAAATCCCTGGTGTCCAGTGCACAGTAGGCTTAATAAAAACTTGTGGACTGATTGTATTATCATTCCACTCCTTCCTGCCTCATGATAACCAAACTTCTCAGATGTCAAGTGTAAGCAAATAACTGCCCTGAGCACCTGCTTATCCAGAACCATTACTTAAAATAGGGTCAAATTAACTAATACAGTCAACTGAATTGGGGGAAGTAGCATCCTCCCTGATGTGGCCTCTCAGTTTGAACCTCTCCCCCATCATGCCTACCCTGGAATTTGTGATGCTAGATTGGGGTACAAAAAATCCTGGGTACAGCTCTGCTTCCAGAATAGCCCTCAAGAATCAAGAACCCTTGCTAATTGATGATGGTGAAAAACACACATATAAGTGCATATTGTCTGCTAAGGCAGGAGATACAAACAGAGCTAAGGCAGGAGATACAAATAGAGAAAGTGAGACAATAACTAATGGAATTAATAGAGGACAAAGGTACTGAGTACTGGAATAGAAATCAAGAATCTGATTGTCTAAAGCATGTAAACAGAGTAAAATCCTTGACAGGTTATTACATATGAGAGGAAATCAGTTCACAGAGAGAGAATGGTCATAATTCAATATAAACTTCCTGAAGGCTGTTCCTAAGCAGGGAAGAGATATGATAATTGGGCTAGGAAGATTTTAATTATTTGACTAACATTAATTTTTTAAATTATCATCTAGTTTTTTCTTTCCCAAATGAAAAAACAAACAAAAAGCCCCTATGAGAAATATGTGTGGCTAAACAAAACAAATTCACATATGGGACATGTCCAAAAATGTACCTCATTCTGGATGTAAATCCATCACCTTGTTTTTGGAAGGCAGACAGCATTCTTCATCATCAGACCCTTGGAGTCACAGCTGATCATTTTGCTGATCAGAGCTCTTAAGTCTTTCACAACTCGTCTGTTTTTGCAATATTGTTACGATACAAATTCTTCACCTGGTTATGCTTATTTCATTCTACATTAGGGCCTTCAGGTCTCCCCAGGTTTCTCTGTAACCATTTCATCATCTCTTACAGCATAATAGTGTTCTATTATATTCACAAAAATTTGTTCAGCTTCTTCCTAATAGATGGGAGTCCCTTTAATTACCAGTTCTTTCCCACTACAAAAGGAACTACCATAAATATTTTTGCATGTAGGAGACCTTCTCATCTTTCTTTCATCTCTTTGGATTACAGGCCTAATATTAGTCTTGACATATGCACAAGTTAGTAACTTTTGGGGCATGGTTCCAAATTGCTTTCCAGAACGGCTGTACCAATCAATTCACAGCTCTACCACCAGTGCAATAATGTGCCTTTTTTCTCACAGCCTCTCCAACATGTCATTTTCCATTTTTTAATCACCTTTTCCAATCTGATAGGTATGAAATAGAAACTTAAGAGTTGCTTTAATTTGAAGTACTCTACTTATGACTAATTTGAAGCATTTTTTCATATGGCTATAGATAACCTGGATTTCCTTTGGGAAGATTTTAAAAAGAGCTAAAAGGATGGGGCAGGTAATAGTGATCAAATGTTCAGGGAACAAGTACGCTTTTTCTGGTAGCCAGAAGTATAAAGGACAATTGCCCTTTAATACTATTTATAACTTCACAGGAGTAAACTATGCTTAAATTTATAGAATTTTAGAGTTACAGAAATCTTTATTCCTTAGAGATCATCTGGTCCAACCCTCTCGTTTTATTTTAAATTTTCAAACATTTATAAATACTGTTTTGATAAAGAAGACAATTCCCACTCATTTTATTTTAAATTTCGAAACATTTATAAATATTGTTTTGACAAACAATTCCCCAAAAACACTCAAATTAGTTCTCTTTTAAGGGAAAGAAGTCAGTCCTCCAACTCTGAAGGACTTATGATGAAAAATGCTCTCTGTCCCCAGAGAAATAACTGATGGTGTCTGAATACAGATTGAAGCATATTTTTTTTCACTTGCTTTACTTTTCTTGAGTTTTTTTTATCTATGTTTTCTTTCACAACATGACTATTACAGATATCTTTAGCATAACTACATATGTATAACCTATATTGAATTGCTTGTCTTCTCAATAGGGGTAGGGTGGGATGGGGAGGGAGCAAAGGAGAAAATTTGGAACTCAAATTTTTGTAAAAAAAAGTTTTGTAAGTTTTGTAAACGAATGTTAAAAACTGTTTTTACATGTAACTGGGGGAAAATAAATTAATTTAAAAAAATAAAAATAAATAAAAGAAGTCAGTCCTCAGAAGATGCAGTCCCTGAAAGAGTTAAGTTTATCAATTGTTAACAGAAAGTAAGGCTGTATCTTTAACTTTGACAGTATAATACTACTACTGACTGTTGTATTTGACTACAGTGTTGTTGCCTGTCCATGAAAACTGTATGTATTTGTATATACTGCTCTCTTAATCACTGCGTATATTACTTTCTTTGGTTTTCTTCACTGTTTCATTTCATAAAGGTTCCCATGCTTCATATTTGTCATTGCTCAATATTGCAGTGATATTCCATCACACTCACACACAATCATATGTTCAGTCACTCCTTAATCACTGGGCATATGCTTTGAGGTTTTTTAATTACAAATAATGATATGAATATTTTTGCAATTATGAGTCTTCATGCTGATAAGTTACTCGAATAGAGATACAATATAAACAGACAGAATCTAACATGGGTCACTAGAGGGCGCAGTGAATAGAGTCAGGAAGACCCGAGTTTGAATTCTACCTCAGATGCTTATTAGTTTTGTGACCCTAGGCTAATTTACTAGTCTCTAAAATAAGAATAATAATTGCATCTACCTCACAAAATTGTTTCAAGTTTCAAACGAGATAACATATGTAATGCACTTTAAAAGACTTAGTTAATATGCTAGCTATTATTATAACCTCTGGGTCAAGGGGTCTGAACAATTTAGCAATACTTACACAATTCCAATTTGCTTTCCCAAAACCCAACTCCATAACATTGGAGGTGAGGAAACTGAGGTTGAGTGATTTGCCTAAGCCCACACAGCCATTCGAAGTAAATCTGACTAAAACCCAACTCTTGATTTCAACCCAGCCCACTGCTCCAAACATCATTGTATCCCTTTTCCATTAATTAGGGCCCTCGGAATTCAAATTAGGCCTCTGGGTTATACGTTATTACAAATGGACACTGCAACCTTGCCCAGTACAGTCTTACTCTATTCCTAACACCCACATTTCACTTTTAGCTCCCTTTATTCAGGACGGCTATCAGAATAACAACTTTGATGTCAATTTAATTCAATTCAATTCAACAAGCAGTCTCACAGGACACTAAACTAAAGGCAGACAGGCCGGAACAGAACCTATTGAAAGACTGTGAGAAGGGGTGACTCTGATTTCAAAGAACTGAGGAGGCAGTGGTTACAAATATTCTGCATCTCTTCTGAGGGAATAAATATGCTGTATCTCTCCGTGCTCCACATATCCTCTCAGCAGCTCTCATCTGTCTTCTCTCCACCCTTAGAAAAAGCTGGAAAGGACTTTTAAGCAGTTGAGATGTAATAATATTACTCAATACGTTATCATTTTCTAAATATCACTGGGGGAGAGAAGATTTAGAAAGATCTGCTAATAGAGGGAGGGGCAGATAAGGGACCTGGGGTTTTTAAAAAGTAATGGTGATGAGGGAACAAATGCTATTTAGTACAAGAGGTGGAAAGATGATTCCGGTAATGCTGAGAAAAAGTTTTGCTACGTAAACTCATCTCCACTCTCTTTTACCCACCCTGTGCCTGCTGGTCCTCACCATCCTAAACAGCCCTAAGAATGTATGGATTTCCTAGAGTGCTTTTGATCCACTCCCCTTAGAGGGAGGTTCTGTAGGAATTCCCGAGGATGCTGGGCTTCACTCCAGGTCCCAAAATCATAGAAGGGGACTAGAGCTGGAAGAGACTTTTGGGGTCATCTAGTTCAATTCACCATTTTATGCACTGTGTTGGAATACTTCTCTAACTTGGAATTCCAAAAAAGAAAACTATTTTAATAATTTATCAGTAAGTGTTTTTCCAGTTCTTTCAAACCTCTTACAGAAAAACTCCCATAGTGGCCTATCTATACCTATTTCTACTTATCTGCCTTTACTAATTTACCTCTGTGAGTTTTCAGTTATTAAAGACTGCACAGAAAGCACTGTAGTAACTCAGCTTTAAACAACTGTTTCTTTTCTTGGCCTTGAGGCAGCATCAGTAGATAAGTAGAAATATATGTGCCTAGGGGAAAAGAAATAATGGTAAGAACACAGAATTAAGCATTTATCAACCACTTCCTCCAACACTCTCCACATCAGTCCAATTTTTAAATAACATCTCTAAAACTACTTACTGGGAAAAGTAGCATTGTTTGGTGGTCATTAAGAAGCCACACAATATTCAGAAGTAATCTCCCATTAGGTAAATTACTACACTTTTCTACACATTTATTCCTTCCTCCCCCAACATCCCTCAAACGTACCCAATAAATTTTTAAATTCCACCTATTTGGTGCTTTAAGTTTTCTCTCCCAAGGGTCTAGTTTCATTTGCCCTAGGGAACTCCTAAATGTACACTAACAAATCAATTCTGTTCCAGGGTTAGGCTCCCATATTTTGGGCACAAATCTTTTTAGGCTGTAAGATTTGGGGAGGGGACAGACATAGATTGGCTTGGGCCAGGGCAGCAAGGCCTACCAGATTTATAAGCTTTTCTCTTCCCCAGCATTTGGCCTGATTTAATTATCAACTAGACTTGATTAGCTAGAGAAAAGGTGTGTGTGTTAGCAGGCTCACCGCAGTACAATGGTTAAGAGTGGGTTGAAAAGCGCCCACCACCCACCCACCCCCGGCAAAGGTTAAGTACTAAAGCCTGACTTTTTTTTTTTCCATCTTAGTTTGGTGGAGTTTCTGAGCCCCCTCCCTCTATGTATGTGTGGCCTTTCGGTTTTTGTCTTTGCTTTCAAGCTTGGGCAGATCTAGAAACTCAGTTCTACTTTCCCAGCAGCTACTGGAGAACCAGCGATTAAAAAATCTTAAAGAATATGAAACAAGATAGTTGGGTGAAAATAAGGAGAACCACCCCGTGGCTAGAGACTAAAGCAATGTTTGTTGGGTTCTTTTTTTGTCGCAGGCAGGGAGGGTCTGGAGAGGGTTAAAGGAGCCCGAAGTGCTATTTTGTTTGGTAACTTCGAAAGCTGCCCAGGGCAGCCGAAGCAGCTTTCGAAGTTACAAAACAAAACATCTCCTCAGTAACAACTGTACAAGCCAAGGCCTCCCTGCCATTCAGACTGTTGAGTCAGTATGTCTGGTTGGGCTGGGCCTCACGTCACTGCTCACTGCCGGCCTCCTCCTCCTTTCTCTTTCTTTCCTCCACCCCTCCTCCTCAACCCTTCCCCATGCGCTTAGCACTCCTAGCCGGATATGAGCCACCAATCCCAGCAACAAACAACCCTTTAAATTAAATAAAAAAGAAAACCACTAACAGAGGAAAGCAGAATGCGCCAACGACTGGTTAACTTGCATTATTCTACAGTCTTCCCCCACCCCCACCTTCCCGCCCCACATCTGTCCCTCATTCAAGATACAACAGCTGTTTTATCTCTAGCCAGGGCAATGGAAGGAACTCTACTACATAAAGAGTTACAATGTAGGTTCCACGTTGTGTGTTCGTTTTTTTTTTTTTAAGACCATGTTGTTTTTCCCTTGTGCTGCTTTGGTTGTGAGTGTTCCCTTATGTGCTCAGCAGCCTGGAGCCCACAGGAAAGAGGGGAAAAAGGTTCCTGACTTAAGAGTGAAGCTTTGCTTGTTCATTTAAAGTCCTGTAATTGAAATGCCACCCTTGATTTTTAAACTCTGTCCTTGACGCATCCTCGTGGTCTTTCCCTTTGCCCAAGGGTGGGTACTGTCTTTAATTTATACATCAAATCTAAAACAGAGGTCTTAAGACTTTTTTGGGGGGCGGGGGCTTGCATGAGACCTCCACGGACTTAACCTTATTTCCACGGAGCGTGTGCAGCCAGCATCCTAGTGGGCCTAACCCCAAACAAAAACACCCCAGTACTTTAAACCGGAGGCGGATCTGGACAGCTTACGTCTCTACTGGGCGATTTATTTGCGTGTTTGTTTAAGCAATGGGGAAAGTATTACTATGACATGTGACAGGTTTGCTTCAGAAAAAAAAAAGAACATATGCATATAATATATATTAGGGAAAACCAAATCCCGAGGAAATGGGGGAGGGGAGAATAGAGTGGGTGGGCATGCATTTCTTGAAATCAGCAAAAACAGCATCTGGTATTTAAAAGGGTAATTTCATCAAGGACCTCCTGTTGGAGTCCTCATAACTCTCAACCAAAATAAACTCACAGGAACATGTGTTTACTTAATGGCTAGTTTCTGTTTGAAATACCGGGAGAGAAGGAGGGGGTACCCATGCAGGGTTGTAAGTCCTAAAAGTAGGAACTGTTTACCGAACCAGATGAGCAGCCACGATGTTTTCGCCCGTTTCCCATAAAGGCAGCAGCTGCCCCGGGGGGGGGGGGGCGCTGGCGAAGGTTGGTTGTGGGGAGGAAGAGTCAGCGCTTCTGCTGCTGCAGCAGCTACTGCGGCCGAGTTGAATCAGGACATGCAAAGCGCGCGCGCGCGCACAAACATACACACGCAGAGACGTTTAAAGAGCATGTGGGCATGACAGAGTGTCTGTCTCCAGCGTGCTCGGGATTTCGAAACTGCCTTGCAATCCTTGTCCAGGGCTAGCAACCGCGGAGGACTGACGGGAGGCGATCGCCGTTTGCTGTGTGGGTCTCCTCTTATCTACTTCCCCTAAGTAGTGTAGTTTTGTTGGAAGAGCACTGATGGAGGAAAAAAAGGAGAAGCGGCGAGAGCCCAGGACTGGGGTAAAGGGTAGAAGCTGATTCAGTAAGCAAGCAGTGCGTCCTCTCACCCTGCAGAATACTTTCCCTTCTCTCCTCCCACCCCCACTCCATTCACAGTCAGCCTTACGTAGAGCTCAGTCCGCTGCCACTGGGAGAGCTAAGTTAAAGGTAGCTGTCAAAAAAAAAAAAAAAGTATTTTCCTTCTAGGGGAGGGAAGAGGAAAGAGGAGGGGGCACCCTTAAAAAAAAAACACCCTCTTCCAGTTTAATGATCAAAGGGGAGTCTGCCAAAGGAAGAAAGGCAAAAAAAGTGGGGGAGGGCTCCTCTCCTGACTGGATGCTTGGTCACCATCGCCACGGTGCCAGTGATGCGGGTCCCTGGGACTGAACAAGCGGGGAAGGGTTTGGTTTCTTTTCTTTCCTCTCCTCCCCTTTTACTCCTGTGCCCTCCCCCCTTCCCCTCCCCCTCTTTTCTCTTGTATCTATCTGTCAGAGTGACAGCAGCTAGGGAGGAGGAAAGAGGCAGCGAGTGCTGGGGCGGTCGGGGCTGCTGCTCTCGCTTACTCTCACTTACTCATTGCTAGAAGGTGCGGGTGTGTGTTGGGGGGGGTGGAGAGTAAAGGGGGGGGTGCGAGCTATTGAGGGGGAGAAGTTGGGGGTGGAGGAAGGACCTCCTGTACCTTCTCCCCTTCCCTTTCTCACTCTGACAGGCTGGGGCTTAAGGCGCTGTGGAGCACCGAAGCCGGAGGGAAAGAACAAAGAACGAAAGTGGGGAAGGGAGGTCGGATTGGGAAGGGGACGAGCCCCCAACCCTACTTCCAGGGAGCAGGGAAGCTCAAAGTGTCAGTTGAATCCCCTCCAACTCCGAGGCGCCTGGGATTGTAGCGCCTTGCGTAGTCCTAACGGCCGGAGCAATCCCCCCACCACCGTCCGCAAGTTACGGGGGAGACAGTTCTGAACGAGGCAGGAGGAAAAAAAGGAAAAAAGAAAGACAGAAAGAAATCCCACCCCTGGCTCTCCTTCTCCCTGGGCATTCAGAAAGAGAATTATTTCCGCCTGGTGGAAGTAGAAATCAAGAATGAAAACTAAGAAAGGTAAGTGTAGCGTGCGTTCGGCTCCCCGTGTGCTTGTGTATGTGTGATTGTGTGGATGTTTGTCCGTATCCCCATTCAACTGTGTGTGGCTCACTTTTTGGGGGGGGGGCCGGAGGGGACGTGCTTGGGCAGTTAGGGCTGTGTGAACTAGTAATAAGCTGCCAGGACTTTTGGGTTACTTTATTTTTTTCCCCCTAAAAGTGCCCCCACCACCACCACTCCTACCCCATCCCAGGAGTCCTGGGTCCTTTTTTTTTTTTTCTTCTTTGTTGAGGTCCGGTCTACAATGGCAGTTGGTTGATGTTTCACTTCTAGACACAACACGAGGGGCTGTTGTTTAGAGACTGGTTTCTCCATGCTGCTGGCACGTTGTCAAGAAGCACGCTCAACTGCCTTGTTTGTGCTCCTCAAAGTTTCATTGTCTGCCCCACCACCCCCATGCTTTTTTGAAAACGCGAGCCCGAGCTTTCCTTCCCCCCTCCACTCGCGACCCCTACCCTCTGCCTTTCCGAGGCAAACTTCACCCCGTTTCTTAACCCGTGATGAGACTTTTATTTCTTAACTTTCAAAACGAGAGGCTCCAGCCAAACAAAGTCGTCTCTGTTTGGAGTGGGAGCACCCTGGATGGCAGGATCCACTGAGTCTTTGTTTGAAACTTAGGCTTGAAGGGCTCTCACTCAGAGCTTGGGGTGGGACTATTCTGCCCCCACCCCCCTCACTGAAATGTGATATTTCTTTTTTTTTAATTACACTACCTTCTGTATACTGTATACTGCATACTAACTCCCACCCATTGAAATGTAATATTTCTTTTTGTCATTAAACTAACTTCTGTATACTATATACTAACTTCCTCCCCTCATGGAAATGTGATATTTCTTTTTTGTGATTATACTAGCTTTAGTATACAACATACTGTATGTAACCCCCCCCAAAAAAGAAAAAAAAACTATTCCTGGCATGAAAGGTTGGATTTTTTAAAAGCTTCCCAATTTGGGGAGGGGCGAATTTTTAAAAGGGTTAAATTGGAGAAGGGAAGAATTTAAAATGTCACGAAAACTGCCCCCCTCCCTTTTTTAAAAGAATGTTTTAGACTGCTCTTCCATTTTGACAGGCAGGTCTCCTTGTAAGTGCCCCAGTTAGGGTCTGTGATTGTTTCCATAAAAGCGCCATGGAAGTTTTTAAAAATTGAAACTTGGCATCAACCTGTCTTTAGAAAACACCCAACTTTAAAATTCGTTGGTGAGGGAGTGGGGGGGGTAGTGGTTCCCCCTCAAGTCCTGGAGGAACGCAAAAAAGCTTGGCTCTCGGCTTGCTGAAGCTGGAGCTGAATTTTCCGTTGTGATTTATGTGAGGGGTTCAAAACATAAGTTAATCGAGTCCTGAAGCAAATGTTCCAAAGCGAGGTGGGAAGCCTCCTACTGCGCATGCTCACCAACTTCCTCGAGGGATGGCTTTTTTTTTTTTTTTTTTTGAACTCCACATTCTTTCAGACTGGTAATGCCCGGAGAGGGCTTGGGGCAGCCTCCCCGCGGGGGAGGGGGGTGCGCGTAGTATACGTTACGAGATAGAATGTTGTTGGAATGGAACGCCACGAGGCGTTGGGTTCTTCCTCCCGAGTCCCCTACCCGAGGGTTCTGTTAGTTTACTCAGAGACTTTGAAACCTTTGGTGAAGGTCGCCCGTACTCCCCCCTCCCCCCCGCCCAACTTTATCCTGGAAGCCCGGAGGGGAATGTAACGTCCACGATTAGGCTAAAAGCGGCTTGGGTCTCCCCTCACCCCCCCTCCCCTCCCCAGGCTGCGGCATTCATAAGGTGGTTCATTGAATTCATTGATTGGTGATAACGCGACGGTTTCCCAACGCACGCTCTGGGAATGGCGTCCGAGACGTCCCTGAAGTGAGAGGAGGTCTCCCCGTCGGGTGGGCTCGTCCCTGTTTGGCAGTTACTTAGCCCACTTCGGCGGAATTGACTTAAGTTAGGGGTTGTTGCCCCCCCTTTTTATTATTTTATTGTGTGTGTTCCTTTAAAAGATCCATTCGTGTTCCCTTCCTCTCAATGAGTAGATTTCCGCCTTCTGCCCGTCCCATTGTTCGGGCTGTGCCTCGGGGTAGGGACTGTCGAAATACCCAACTTCGTTGGAAACTTCTAACGCCCTCCCAGCGCCTTCCCCCTGCCCCCGCATTCTTCCCCCCTGGTTCCCGCATTCTTCCTGGTCCCTCCCCCTTCCCCCTCTCCACTTATAATAAAGAATTGAGTGTGTGAAAATGCTGATATGATTAGTGTGAGTGTTTGGTAATCGGTCTTGTGAGCTGAAGTTCTGGTTATTCAGCACTGAAATAATGCAAACAATGAAAGGTGACATGTTGGAGGGGGAAACTTTGAGATTATAGGAAGAAGGTCACTGGTTTAGAGTTCATGTGGGGGAAATGAGACTATTGATGGTTGATGTTAGGACAAAGGTTTTTTTCTTTTTTCTTTTCTTTTTATTTTGGTTAAGGTTTGGTTGGCAGATTGCATTTGAGGGACACTTCACTGTTTCAGTTCTTCGTATCTTTTCTGGTTTCTTGTAATCCAAAATTCTTTTGGATTCTCTTTGAGCTGTGGTAAATTTTACTGCTTTGGGGGATGATTAAAGTTCAGGCTGTGGAACCCAGGAACAAAAGCTAGATTGCTTGCTTCCCTCCCTCTCTTCTGCCCCTCCCTTCTCTTCCTCCTCTTCTCTCCTCCCTCCTCCGTCTTTCCCTTTGTAAAAACTACCTTTGAGGGATGAAACAGTTTTCATATTCTGTGTTACAGGAAGATTTAAGGATCTCTCAGGCCAACTGTTGCCAATGACATGGTCTGTGGGATGGGTTTGTGGTCGTTTTAATATAAAAGTTATCTGTCAAATATTTTTAAAGCTCACTTTAATAAAAGTAACTTGGACCAAATCACAGAGAAGTGGAGTATTATACGTTGATTTGCAAATTAGAGGATTGTACTTCTGAAAAATTTTACACTGTTACAAAAGAATCCCTTTTTAAAATGGTTAAAGCAAACAGGTAGATGGTCGGATTAGAAAAATTCCAGTAGTTCTTTTAATCCTTACCTTTTGACAGTGTTATGTTCTTGCTTGAGAGATTCTTTTTTGTTTGGGCCAGCCAAGCCCAGTTCAGTTTGGATGACTCAGGTGTTAAGATTCCCATTGTATCTCCAGGGAGACCATCTTAACAGGAAACTTTTCCTATCCAAACTTTTGCTTAATTAAATTAATGGTTAACCTTTTTTCCCTTTAGGTTTATCACTATCGTGTCTAGATTCTTTGCCTTCCACTCCTTTAGTTTTAGTTCAACTGACAAGTCTCTTTTTTTCTTTTTTTTCCTTTTTTTTTCCATTTGTTGTCATCCTACTGATCTTGAGAATCTAAGTATTCTAAGAGCTAATCTCGCCTCTTTGGGCCTCCTTGTCAAATACTAAGTAACAAGTCCTTCTGACCCTTTGAGAATAAGGAAGTAGGTAGAGTAAAAGCAGTCTGTTCCTTTGTACTAAGTATCATGACCTATGAATTCATATATGGGAAACAAGTCATCTCTGGGAAACTTTTCCTAATCTGTTACAAAAGGAAATGACTAACAAAGAAAAATAAAACGGATCTGAGCCATAATCAATAGACATGGTTTCAACGAAAACAGTCTTGACAGCAGCAAACGTGGTTATGCTGCCCTGCACATATCAGCTGGTGTAGTCAGGGAACTCCAGTCCCAACTTCCTGTTACTGAAGCTTTTGTGCACATATTGGAAATATTTGTTAAGTTCAGAGGCCTGTCATTCATTTATTTAAATGAACTCAGGATGGAGGAAAGTCTTTCAGGGCAGTTTGGGGTTGCTTAACTGAAACTTGCTTTTGTGTCAGTGTCACTAACCTATTGGGAAGGGATCAAGCTTCTTGTCAAACTGAGTAAGATCAAAGGGTGAGCTTTTTTTCCCCTTGCCCTTTGTTATGACCAAGTTACAGTTAGGAACCAACTGCTCTAAAAGCAGATTTTCACACTTCATGGCTGGTTTCTTAGGGAAAAGGCAATAATAGTGATAAGCCCCAAAGACTGCCTTTTCAGATTTGTGAGTATTTAAAGCAACTGCTTTATTCACATTTTTTAGTTGCTGACTTATCTTTCTCAAATTGACTAATTGCCAGGGCTGAATACCAAGTATGGTTTTCCTCCTCAATATGAAATTTATGTCTAGCCTAAACAAGGAGTTTGCTTTATTACTCTTATCCACTTTTTTTTTAAATGGAAGTATACTTCCTAAAAGTTTCCATTCTTAACTATTTAATAAAAGTCTATAACTTGGATTCATTTCTGAAAGACAACTTATTTAAATTCTCTTAATAAGTCCACAAGGATATAACATAGTTATGGAGTTTATAACTTTTGGCTAAACTTTGAGTCTCTCCTCAAACGTATGTATTTGCATAATCACAGTTCTTTTTCTTTGTTAGAGCCTTCATTACTTTGACGGTCTCCTGAGGTCTCTGGCTCTTCCCTGGATACCATTTTTCCTTTTCTTTTCTCAACACCTCCTGCCCCCTGCAGTCCAAATCTAAATATGTGTGTCAAAGTAAAGCAGTGGTCAATTAACTGAGAAAGGCATTAAGTGGAATCTTATAAACAAATCTTTTTAAAATAGTGAGTAGCTTTCTTGTTTTATTATGCTAAAATGTTTAATTATATTCATCTGTTGGGGGGGGAAACAAGTTGACTAACTTTGAGAAGAACTATGTCCTTGTTATCGAATTGTAAAAGATTTTCATTAGGTCCTGTGTTTTTGAAAAGGGTAGTTTTCCTCTTTCAGACTGGGATAAAATTAACAACTGCAGTGATCAGGAGAAACATTCAAATTGTAGGGATGGAGTTGTTTAAAGAAAATGATTGTAGAGGGGGTAAAAAACGTATGTTCCTAAATTGAAGTGCCACTTAATGAATTGTGTTAATTGAAGCCAGTCCTATCTGTGGTTTGGATTTTACAGTGGTGTGTGAATTCCTAAAATTGCTGTTGGGATTAAAGTATTTAAAACCAAAGTAGATTTTTCTTTGGGAATTATATTGTTTAGTTTACATTGTCCTAGAACAACTTCAGACTGAACATGGTGGCCAAATTAAAATATTTTATGATGTTCATTTAATGTATAGAATGTACTAGGTCCCAATTACGAGGGATCTGCTTTGCCAAATTAATTATATGTGACTGCCAGAGGTGGAGTGGGGAGGAGGAAGTGCTTTTTAAAATATTTTCAGGAACTAAAAAGGTGTATTGAAACCAGTTCTCCTAGCTAATCATCTTTAGAAGACAACGATATTAATTTGGTATAATGATTAACTTTATGTGAATATAAGCTCAGGGAACAATAAAATGTCTCTTAGAATAAAATTGAAAGGCTATGCCTTCTTAGGGTATATAAAGCATTTCTAGTTCTTTAAATCTGAACTCACAAGTACCAATAGAGTATTTAGGGATGACTCACTATCATTTAAAACTGATGCAATCAAAGGAATGAGAGAGTAATATGCTAGCATTTTAAAATGTATTTCAGGACACCTCTTAGATTTACACTCCACCCCTTCAACTTGCCTCACACACCTTCCTTATTTGTGTCCTTAAAAAAAAAAAAGTTGTTAGCCAAATACCGTTATAGTGCCCTTCCTGTGCAACATGTGGCATGATATTTACTTTAGATGCAATTTGTCTGAACTGCCACAGCAGATGAAAGGTTTTTCTGGGCACCAGTTAAAAGGAATGTGTGAAGTAAAATCTTCATGGGACGAAGGTCCTGGTATTAATGGTCTGTTAGTCAGTGGGAGGACTATCCTTAGTTCACTTGATTTACATCATTTTAGGTAGCACAGGCCTTCTGGTGGCTGAAGGAAAAGGAAAAAAAAACAACCCTTGCTACAGTTGATCTTGTTGAACCTTAAGTTAACTTGGACTAATGACTTTTGGGTTTTGTATTTTCATAGGTGTTGTTCCAGTATCAGGCAGTGAGACTGAGGATGATGACAACATGGATATTCCCCTGGACCTTTCCTCTTCAGCAGGCTCAGGCAAAAGGAGAAGACGGGGTAATCTACCCAAAGAATCTGTACAAATTCTCCGGGACTGGCTCTATGAACATCGGTTTAATGCTTATCCTTCAGAGCAAGAAAAAGCTTTACTATCTCAGCAAACACACCTATCCACACTACAGGTAAAAAAAAAAAAAAAAGAAACAAAAACAAAACCTCACAAAGAGTTAAGTTTATTGGAATAGTTTTAAGACATTTTGAAGAGTTCCTGTGTGATGATTTATTTATATATAGTTCTTTTCTCTTTCCTGTCCCCCCCTCTTTAAAATTAGAGAATATTTATAGTGTTGAAAGGTAATCTGATTATTTAGACTTATCATCTTATCAGGTAACAATTTCTTTAATGATATATCATAAGAGAGAACACTACTTTATACAGCAAATATGAAAAGGAGGTTAGACCTTCCTCTATTGCCCAGGAAACTGGTTTGATATTTAAACAGGGACAGATTTCAGTGAGGTAATTCATGTTGTGTCTGTTGACATAGTCATTTGAACAGGGAAAAATCAGTAACTGTGGGAGGAGTGGCTCTTTTCATAGAGGAAAGACTTTCCTGTTGTTTATTAACCTAAATGCAGGAACAATAGGTAATAGGTTAATATACAGGAGAGTTAAAAGGTAAACTTCTTTCTATAAAAAAAACATTTTCAGACACCCGGCAACTTTTGTTTCTTCTTTTTGAAGAATGGTGAAAGTTTTGGCTTTTTTGTTTTTTGTTTTTACTTTGGAAGAATGACTCTTAGCTAGAGTCTGCTCCCTTAAAACAGTTTTTAAATCTAAATGGACCATTTCATACCTTCCAAAAGAAAAGTAAAAAACATTAAAAGATGTTATATTTCCCAGGTCTGCAACTGGTTCATCAATGCACGCCGCAGGCTCCTCCCTGACATGCTGAGAAAAGATGGCAAGGATCCAAATCACTACACTATTTCCCGCCGAGGGGCCAAGATTTCTGAAGCTAACTCTGTGGAGTCAGCCATGGGCATCAAAAACTTCATTCCAGCTTTAGATGAGAGCTCATTTCATGCCTGTACAACTGGACCAAACCAGACCTTAGGAAGACCACTGTCTCCTAAGCCCCCATCCCCAGGATCCATATTGGCCCGGCCCTCAGTGATTTGCCATACCACGGTGACTGCATTGAAAGATGCCCCTTTCCATCTGTGCCCGTCAGTCAATGTCGGACAGAACACAGACATGCAGCAGATACCAGCCAACGGTTTCACAGACACCTCTCTCCTGTACTCAGAGGACACGGGTAAATCTGGACCAAGTGCAAATACCCAGAGTGGGCTTTTCAACACTCCCCCCCCCAACCCCACCAGACCTCAACCAAGATTTTAGTGGATTTCAGCTCCTAGTGGATGTTGCCCTCAAAAGGGCAGCTGAGATGGAGCTTCAGGCAAAACTGATGGCCTAACCCTTTTTTCAAGCAGCAGAATTCTCAGAAAATGTTTGTTATGGTTGTCTGGGTGATGACAAAAGACTAATGACTGCATTATTTTATATATGTTTTTTTATTAATATTTGCACAAAGGATTGCTGAAATGAAGCTTCCTGTTACTGATTTGTCTTCAATGGAATATAGTCATTCCAAGAACTGTAAACTTAAAAGCTACTGTAGAAACAAGGGTTTTCTTTTTTTTAATGTTTCTTGGTAGATTATTCATAATGTGAGATGTTTCCCAAGATCATGTGATTTTTTTTTTCTTATTCCCACCTTCTCCCTTTATTTTTGTTGGTATTTCTTTCAGACTGTGCAATACTTAGTAAAGCTATAGTCTTCTTCTCATTCCATGTGGAACAGGATGCTGACATACTATCTACTAAAGAAATTTTCAATTTTTTTAAGCAAGTATGAACCTAGTTGATTGGTGTTGCCTTTTTCATGATGTAATAAAATATTTTCTTTAAAAGTGATGCACTGCAGAGTATTTTGTTGAGGAAGCACTTCCTAATAATAAGCAGGAACTTGGATATCATTGAAAGATAGAGTATCCCATGTGAACAGGATTAAAGAAATGTAGATATATCATTTTTCACTCTTTGAAGGACCTGGGACCACACCAGGGTACATAAACCGGATATATATTTAGTATTGATAGGGTTGAGTCTTGCTTAAAACTTTTTCTGCTGAAAAGTAATCATTTTGTTAACCTTTAGCATCCTAATTTCTCTAATGCTCTACCATTCAAATACTAGTCTAGTGCTCAGCCATGAACATTTTTAAACATTTCAAATTGTTCTGGAAACCATTTTTTAAAAATGAGCACCCTGTATCACCTGGTTGTGACTTAGGCTTCAAGTTTGCAAGCTAACTTCTGGCACTGTCTTCTACCTGCCTCTTGTGATTTAAAATACAGTATACTTAATTGATTAGTGCATTTCAGTACAATGTTTACAGATGGAACTTAGCACAAAACTAAACTCATAGAAAGATGAACTAAAATACCTTGAAAGTGTGTCTTAAGGCAATAAAGAAACATTGAAGTTCTAGCTATCCTATAATCCTATCTTATCCATCTTCAAAGGTTAAAATTACCATACATTGTTACATTGCCATCAGCTTTGTGATGAAAAACTTAGGACGGCTAAAGGGAATCTCTAATGGCATTTTCACTCATTTACTTCATCATCACCAAAAACTCATTCTTTTTTTTTTTTTTTTCTTTTTGGTGAGGTGACTGGGGTTAAGTGACTTGCCCAGGGTCACACAGCTAGTAAATGGCAAGTGTCTGAGGCCAGATTTGAAGTCAGGTCTTACTGACTCCAGGGCTGGTGCTCTATTCACTGCGCTACCAAGCTGCCTCCCAAAACCCATTCTTTATAGTCATAAATAACATGGGGCTGTTTGGTCATGAAAGTGCTTGACTGCATCCCTCCCATCTCTAGCATAGCTTCTTAACCTAGGGTAGATGGATGGATTTCAGGAGGTTGGTAAACTTGGATGGGGTGGAGGTTGGGGGGGAATTACATCTTTATTTTCACTAACCTCTAACTGAAATTTAGCATTTCCGTCAATTGGGAATGTCAACAACCAAAAATTCTGACAAAGTGATCCATGGATTGACTGCCAAAGGGGATCATGATACAAAAACGTTTTAAGAATCCCTGAGTTACAATCTACTCTGGGACTCTTCTTGAGCTGTTAGATTCCAAGAGGAATTTGACCAAAGAGAAGATAGCTGAGTCTGATATAATTTCTTCTTTCTTTTGATTACTGATTGTCATGTTGCAAAATAATGTGAATTCTTTTGAAAGATAAAAAAAGAACTTAGAATGCATAAGAACGTAGACAACTCTCAGGATTATAATTTCTTGCTCATCTAGCAAGTGTTTGAGGACATTATCTCATATCATCTTCACAACAATCTCTGGGTTAGGCAGGGCAGGTATTTTCTCCATTTTACAGATGAACAAACAAGCTTCAAGGAATGACTTGCCTAAGGTTCCCACTCTAGGCAAATGAGCTGGGACCGGGCACTTGATTTTTTAGAATCCTAATCCAATGCTTACTTTGTACTATTATCACAGGTTCCTCTGCTTGTTGGATTATCTTTGTTGCTATGCAGATTATCAAAAGTCAGTTTTTCATTCCCAGGTTGATGCTCCCTCACCTAGGTGGCACATGCAAGCTAATTTAAATATTAACCTGAAGTAAAATGTAATTCCTTCACTAAAGGCCTACTGTCTCATCTTAGCTTGCCAAGTGACCTTGTGTTCTCCAAGCCTGTGCCAGTCCAGTATGAGATGTCAGGTCCTACCTCTGGAAATAAAAAGATGTCAGCCATCATCCAGTCTAGCCTTTGATCTTTACATTCAGAATTGTTCAACAGAGGGCTGGCCATCAAGCAATGAATCCTTGGGGTTATAACATTTCCTAAACAGTTTATAGTATGGAGGGGTTGAGATTAGTTGAAATGACAGATCCTTAAAGTATTGAAATAGAAAATGTAATTGGTAAGGTAATGTAAAAAAAGAAAAAAATTACTGAAAGCTTGCTACCAATCTAAAAGAGCCCTAGATTTTAAATTAGAAGACTTGGGTTTGAAACCTGCCTCTGTAACTAAATACCAGGGTGACCTTGGGCAAATCACTTCATCCTGTGAGCCTCAATTTCTTTGTCTGTATATTGATGGGGTTGAATTAAGTGACCTCTAATGTCCCTTTCAGCTCAAAGTTTATGTTCCTATGATACAGACAATACAAATAACTTAAAAGTTAAATTAATCCCTTTTTTCCAGACCCCAGATGTTCCCATCCCCACCCCTTTATTTACAAATGCTCTTGTGTTTAGGTATTAGATAATTTTTAGTGTTATTGAAAAGGTCATTTAATTTGTTGATTTAAAGCAGTTTGTAATGTCATCTAGGTAAACTTGATTAGTGTTTGAAGTTTCTAGTCTAAAATCTTAAAAGTTTTTACTTAAAGTAACTTTGACTCAGGATCAGTTTGAAGCCAAGGCACTAATGAGTAAGCCCTAAAGGATCTTAGGGAATGGGTAATTACTCATTTCTGTCAGAACAAAGTGAAGTTTACCTCTGGAAACTAGCCAGGGAGTAAAAAACAATGTTCAGAAACTGGAGTTTGAGGAACAGTAAGGACATTTTTGATGGTGGGTAACTGGTTGTTAAGCTAATTAACAAGAGGATGTGGCAAGCTTTTACCTAAAGTGAACTAAAATTGAAATACCCAATAGATTGCCTTTTGGGCTAAACTTAAGATGCCAGGTCTAAAGGCTAAAGATGTAACAAATGCCATGTGGCTGAAGGGGAAACAATGATTTGCGATAGCTGTAATAGGGCCCATGAGGGAAATTTAGAATAGATGAGTATAAAATACATAAACATTGGTTTGAGCAAATTTCAACGACATGGCAATTTTAAAAAATCTTCATTATTTATTTTTAGCATTCTTTTTAAATTTTGTGTTTGAAATTCTATTCCTCTCCCTCCCTTCCCCACCCACTAAGAAGGCAAGCAATATGATATCAATTATACATGTGAAATCATGCAAAACATTTCCACATTAGCTATTATTTCCCCCACAAAAGCTAGAAAAATAAAGTGAGAAAATTATGCTTTAATTTGTGCTCAAGTTCATCAGTTCTTTGGAGGTAGATAGCATTCTTTCATCACAAGTCCTTTGGAATTGTCTTGGATCACTGTATTGATCAGAGTAGCTAAGTCTTTCGTCGTTAATTATTATTGCAACATTGCTGTTAATGTGTGCAATGATGTCCTAGTTCTCACTTCTCACTTCACTTTGCATCAGTTCATATAAAGTCTTACCATATTTTTCTGAAATCATCTCCCTCATCATTTCCAACAGCACAATAGTACTCCATCACAATCATGTGCCACAACTTACTTGTTCAGCCATTCAGAGCATTTAGAAATGGCACTTCTGAATGAATGGCTGTTTAAATGTTTATTGACACCAAGTAGAAGGCACAGACTAAAAAGGTATTTGGATGGCCTTCAAGTTGGGTGAAGCTTGCTCAGATCTTGTAAGAAGCGTAAGGAAGATTTTTAACAACAGCATCAAAGTGAGGCTAAAAGTAACCTTTGCTCTTAACGTTAATAAAGGTCTGCAGAAGACAAATTGGAATTCCCCAACCAGGTCAAGATTGTTTTCATGTTTTTCCTTTCTTAAAAAGCTTGCTTTTTCCAAATCAGAAGAATCCAAGTCTTTGAAACTGATAACATTCATATTTTGGCACTCTTTCTAATACTGATTGTAAAAATCTCTTAGCAGTTAAATAAATGCCAGTGTATCACCTTTACATTTTTGTCATTCAGTTGCCAAGCAGAAACAGTTCATACACATTTTAAGAGATACAGTTTTATATATTTTAGTATCTTTTAGTTCTCTTGTTAGCTTGATCCAATACTTAAGCAGGATTGAAACAAAATTGTAGAATTTTGTTGCCCGTTTCAAATACTACTCTTGAAAATGGATTTAAGTGAGTCTGTGCAAAACTAACACATTATTACATTAGTCACCTTTTCTCCCCCCAAATGGTAACAAATCTGCACCATCTGGAATAGCACTTTAAAAAATTCTCTGTTCAACATTCTCAGTTTTATGTCATCCGGTTTCACTTGTTTCAGTTGATCTCTTCTTGTAAATCTAGTATTTAAATGAACATGATGAGAAGTTACATTGCTGCATTTTCACAGCTTCTACAATAATGGTAGAACAGTATTAGCGCTAGAAAGGGCCTCATAAGACTCATATAGCGAAATACAGTGCCCAGTGCCACACAGCTACTAAGAGAGGGCAGACTCAGGCCTAGAAAGCAACCCCTCTAAATCCAGTATCCCTAGACCACCTTGCCCCACGGCTTTCCTTTTCTAAGTACTAGGATTACTTCCAGGCCACAAAACCCTCATCTCCACACTCCATTTCAGTTTGGCAAGGGCTGTT